AGTGCTCAAGGCCAGGCTGGATGGGGCTGGGAGCAACCTGGTCTGGTGGGAGGTGTCCCTGTCCATGGCAGGGGTTGGGAACTGGATGGTCTTTAAGGTCCTTCCAACCCAAACCCTTCTGTGATTCTATTGAGATTCCATTGTGCGACGTGGAGCAGTGGTTCACTTGGCCACCTTGGATCTGTTCATTCCAGTGGAATTGCTGGGGAAGGTGAACACTTATTTGCAATGATAAATTTAAATTCTAATGAAAGTTGTTACTAGCATGGAAGTGGCTTGTTCATGAATGGTCCAGTTAAAAATAATTGAATCAAATTCTTCGTTTTCTTACACCAGCTTAGTTTTGCTCTAAGTGAGTGGGCTGTACTGGCATAATTGAGCAGAGGATCTAGCCCATTAGTTCAGTACTTTCATTCAGAGGGTAAATATTCAGTCCCTTAAGTAGGGAATTAATAATAGGGAGTAGCATACCAAATTTCCCATGCACTGGGTTGAAAATGTTTTACAGACCATCTTTGAAGTACTGCACAGGCAAATGACTGGGCTTATTAGCATATGTTTCATGTACACTTTCAAATGAAAAATAATGATTCGAGCCAAGATTTTTTTGTAATTATCTCTCAGTTAGTTTTTTGCACAGCAGTCTGCCAGGGTCTCTTTGTTCTATCCTGTTTTCATTTCAGCAATATATTTTTCTGCTGGTCTTAAACCTGTTTTCCCATAAGTTCCTTATCACTCTGGGAGAAAAATCCCCAAGTCCTGAGGCTAGAAAATGAGCTACTAAAGTGATTTCAACTTAGTCAAATATAGTCTGCTCTGAATAGGAAAGTATATTTAACTTTTATCAAAATTACAATAGCATCTCTTAAAATCTTTGTATGCTTTTGAGAATATATCCTGTCGCATGATTTAGGGGAAGTTTTGTCTCAAAACCCATGAAATTTTGCAGACTTCTGTTAATTTCTACCCTTTGATTTCACCTTTCCATCTTCCCTCTTAAATTGGGAAGGAAAGTAAAGATACGGTTGAAGAGCAAAAAGCACGAGAGTGACCATTTTTCTCTACGTGGGGCATCGTAGTCCTATGGTCAGTCTCCAGCTCTGAGCCAGGCCAGATGAGTTCTGTTCCTGATTCTGCACCTGATCTGACTGACCCCAGTTTCCTGTCAAGGCTTGTATTGACCTGGTTGCAGGTGACTGGGGTGTAGCGACAGCTTTTGATACCTCTTTTGTAAAATGGGAATTGTAGGCAGCCACCTCCAGGTGTACAAGGAGAAGTATCTCGTCGTTATCGCACACTGCGATATTTGATAGGGTGGACATGTTGCTTGCAGGGATCCTACTCTGAGCATTCCAAGCAGAGTTTTGGAAGTAGACTTTTTTCATGAAGATGAATCTGATAATTGGAACAATTCAGCTATTCTGTTTCAAATCAATGTGACCTTTAAAACGCATGGAGAAATTGTACTCAGAGTTGTTGCATTTGTTCTTTTCTCTTTTTTCATTAGTCTCTCACTTACAGGGCAGATTAGAAGAGAGGCATTTAGTAATCTTATTTTCTTCTTTTGTAGAGCTCTTCAGAATCTGTCAGACCAGGGTACCGATGTGCTAGGCAGTGAACTAATTCTGTAAAATAAACCTGTACAACTCATTTTTTTTAAGCTATGGACAGATTTCATGCTGTTAAGGTACTGCATGTTCAGTGACTGCTATGACAAAGAAACAAGTGTGACCATAGTTCTCTGTTAAAAATAGCATAACTCCAGCTAACGCATCTCATTTTGTATTGCGTAGGTGTAACGGCGCGCACAGTGAGCTGCTGTTTCCCTGTGGTAACCTCATCAGACATTCTAGTGAGATAGCTGGGAATAATCTGTTCCTATCCATTTGTACTCCTCCCCATAACACCCTGGAACAAATTAAACAAAAGGAAACAAAAGCAGTCAAGTTGGCTTTTTTTTTTCCCTAGTATCTGTGTAACAGAAGCTTTTTGTGTGTGCAGCTGCTTGACATGTGTATAGAGAACTGTGGCCCGAGGTTCCAGTCTTTAGTTGTGAAGAAAGATTTCTGTAAAGACAAGCTGGTGAAGCTGCTGAATCCAAGATACAATCTGCCGATTGACATGCAGGAGAAAATCTTGACCTTTATCATGGTAAGTCTAGAGTCAAGAGTGTTGGTGTCTCTGCTATATGGTAAACCTTTAATGATGCAGCCCGTTTCTGTACGGTAACATACTCATGGGAACCTCTTCCTAAAGCAGACTTTATTCTTGCTGCTCCTGCTTCATGCTGGAATGACAAATGGAGAGACCTGGAAAACTGTCAACCTCTGCCTTTTGTATTCCCTTCCCAGTCTGTGTGTGTGCTCCCTCTGTGGTTGCACTTAGCAAGCAGGACAAGAGGTAACTTGGGAGCCTTCGTGGTTCCTGCTGCTTTGAATGGAGTCAGCTGGACCGGATGGAGGGAATGACCTGCCTTTAGGACCACCTGTTTTGGAAGTGCTTGTCTGACCCACTGACTGTCCGTTTCTGTGACTGTTACTGTTCCTGTTATTTCAAAACTAGACGTGGGCCCGAGGCTTCCAAGGAATGGTGGATGTGAGCGAAGTAAAAGAAGTTTATCTAGAATTGCTGAAGAAAGGAGTGGAGTTTCCATCTTCTGACGCCAGCAGAGGGGGACCTAAGGTGGGAATGCACACGGATACGTCATTAACCATTGTAAATCACAAACAGGATGAGTTAGTTGTATGAGCTCTGTAGACAAAGAAGGCGTGTTTGTTTTGTTTTATTTAAATGCTCCAGGGCAGAATATGACCAACCTACTTAAGCACGTGAGCAGGAATATGTTTCAGTTATAACAGCTAAGATAACAACAAAGAAACCTGACCTTTATAATAGTCTATTTTATTTCAAACCACAGATTAGTGGGGATGTTCTCAAAAAGGAAGCATCTCTCTCTTGAGACTTTCAAAGTCTGTAAAGGATTTGGGGATGCTGTTCACCTCAAGACGAATGAGAGCTGTGTGCTCCAAACTTGTGAGCTTCTGAAAGTCTCAACTAAAACGAGTAAGATTTTCACAAAAACACGTACTGTTCAGAACATGAGCATTATCGATCTTTAAAATTAAACCAAGAGAGGTAGAAGTACATAAGAAAAGACTGTTGTCTATATATCTCTCCAGCTGTTTGCGCAGCCTGTAAACAGTAAATGTTATTTAAGCATATGTCATGGATAGCTTTGTGTAGCATCTAGGACATTAAATATAAGCATGGCTTGAGCGTTGGACATCGGCTGAAAATACAGTACATGTTTTAAAGCCATTCTTTCCAGATTTTGTTTTTTCTATTAGAATAGTTTTCACCAGAGTGTTGGGAAGTGTGAAAGCCATCCACCACTGAGTGGAACCTTGCAATTACAGAATTAAATGTCTATAATCAGTGCAGACAGGAATGATTCAGATTTATCCTGAGTTTGATTTGATGATTGAATAGTGGAGTGCACAAAAGTACTGGAAGGTTGTTTGAACAAGCTGTGTGGAGAATGCTCTCGATAGACAATAGGTTTTTTTTTCTTCACCAGGTGCAGTAGAGACAATTCTGTCTACCACATGTATGTGCCAATTAAAATCAGTGGCAGTCAGTTTAGCTGTCGGTTCAAATGCAATGCAATGAAAGCTTCCTGCGAACGAAGGGTTCCAGCTTTTTGATCCCGAAGGCCTTTGTAGTTCATCTTCTGCAGAGACCTGGATTTAACCCTCCAGCCTTTCCGCTGCTTTCAAGTGGGATCACGTTCTAAACTGTCCTTTGTAAAATTGCAGTGGCACTTTGAGAAGGACTCTTGGCTTTAGATGGCTTAAGAGCTCAAGGAGCTAGCCTGTTCTTAGCCATTCCCACTTTGTCCTGTGATGGAATTTACTTGCAAACCTGTTTAAAAGATATCTGAATTTCAAGCCTCGTTTCATGATAAAATAGCCATTACATTTATTCTTGTAAATAGACCTTGCTCAACAAATTCCCTGGGAGCATTGATTATGAGCAAGCTGACGCCCAGTTGTCTACTCTGACAAAGATGTTTTGTAGCCTTCTCATCTGGATGTCAGCTTCAGTTCTTTTGTTAAACCCAAGCTCTGCTCTTTTGTCTTTCCACAGACTTCATCTCAGCCTTCTGCAAGGTCATCACCATCTTCTGCTAATCCTGCGAAGCGTTCTTCACTGCCTCTGCCCACAGGCCCAACATTGTTGTTGACTCCTGAGCAGGTGCAGTACTACAGGTTTAGAGGAGGGTGGTCCACTCGGAATGTACTGTGAGTGTGTGATTTCAGCAGCCTGGGTGCCTAGACCGCTGGAAGGGACTGTCAGTTCCAGTGGCTTAGCGCTATATTCATGGTTTTAGGTTCATTCTCCTGAAGATGTTTTATATGGTGGTTTGCCAAGCAAAGGAGGCAGAAGTGAGTTCAATAAATGCCAGGCTGTGCCCCAGCCAGAAAGTGTAATCGCTTACTCAAGCATGAGGTTATCTGATGATGCCTTACAATGTTGTTGAGCACGTTGATAAAAGTTGCTTCAAAGATAAGTGAGAAAGCCGAATGCTTTTGCGTAAGGCTTGTGTGAAGAGATTATTCTAAAAAGCAGGAAGGAAAGGAAAGGACAGTTCACTTCTACTTCTCCTTCGCCTGTAGGTAACTAAAAAGAGTAACAGTCACATCAGTGAGAAGGATTAACTGTAAGGAAAACAAGGGTATATCAGACTTGGATCTTAGTTTGATTGCACATGTGAAAGCTGAGCTGATTCCATTCATTTTCACGGCATGTCACCGGAGTAAAATAGTGCTAATTAGGCCCATATTATACCTAATGGGGGAGAAAGTATGTATTAGAGGTAAGAATTGTTCTGCTCACTCTGTTCACCTACACAACGTTCTGTCCTGTTGAACTCAACAGGTTGGGAAACTGTACAGTGAGCTCGATATGGCAAAAATGAATGTGAGAGTCATGTCATCAATATTAAAAGAAAATGTTCCTGGCTCTGAAAATCCGGATGATATGAATCTTTTACAGGTATGTGATAATTCATTGCTAGGTTATATTGGTTTGGTCAAAGTTGAATTTAAAGTATGTTGTATCCTTTCTTTTAACATCTGGATTCAGATTGCCAAATGGAATCCAACAACAGGTTTCCATCTCTGGTTTTGCTCAGCTTTCTGTTGTCTCCTTCACCTTCCCCTGACATCTAGATAGTCAGGAAAGGACAATACAGCTTGCAATGCAGATTTAAGCTTTAGGGAATTCCAGGGGCAAAGGAATTTCATAATGGAGCGTTCTCTGTTAAGCATGTTCTGTCAAACAGCCCTGAGAACATTCCAGTTGAACGCAGTTGCCTTGTGGGAAAACAGATGATGACACAGGCTCGCTCTCATATCCGTCTTGGAGTTTTCAGTGCTCTTTATTATTACCAGTACCTTAAAGGCAGACTGAAGGCCAGTGGAGAATATGAAGCATTTGTTTTATGTGCATGACCCCAAAGATTGGGAACTTGCTGCGCTATAGATGAATCACGTGCTCTTAAAGTGTAGCCTGAAGGAAGTGTATTGCAATAGTCCAGTTTAGATTTGACAGTGAACATGGAGGCATTCTTTCTGTGATGTCATTTCTTCTACTTGTGCTGTATTTCCTATTTTAAAAATTAAACATGCAGTATTACTTTAGCATTTTGGTAACGTCCACTATGTCACTGGATGTTTTTCTGTTTCGTATTGTCTGCAAGAACTTTAATAGCTTTTATCACATCCTTCTGTTTCTAAACTTACCTCTGAACTTCTGTGGTGAGGAAGCATTCTTGGTTATTTGTCAGCATTAAATGTGTTGGAGAACTGATCTAATTTTTGGCAAGCCTTCAGCGTGCTTCTGTTGCCCAGTGGAGAATTTTTCCTTTGCCAGGAGCCCTTATTGGGTGCTGTTCGGGTGCCTTCAAGGTCGTGCTGTTCAGCTGTGCCCATTGATGGGTTGATTCACAACTGAAGATGAGATACAGAGAGGTAGCGGGGGTTTGCCACTGTCTCTCATCTTTTATGACAGGCAGCACTGCTGATCTGGGGGAACCAGAGTGGAGACAGTCACAATCTCCTGGTGGCTTTTGCCCCCCTGGAAATTCCCCGCGTCTCCAACAGTATCTCTTTTGCAGAGATTTGTGGAGCTACAAGTCCAAGGAGGAAGGGCCTGCGAAGCAAGGGTCTGAGCAGAGCAGACTTCAAACGCTGGCAAAGAGCTGTTGCAGTAGCCTGCAGAGGGCTTGCTGTGCCTGCGCTGAAGGATGGCGTGTAGGTTGTTCCAGCCACGGGCACCACCTCAGCAGCTGAGCTCTGGCTGGTCTATGCACAATACTTTGCTCCGGTAGTGCTGCTGTCACCAGGGAGGTTGCCAAGGTGCAAACTGGCCCTGATGATTTAACCAGCTAGTGAAAGACACCCGAGGTAGGAGAGTGCACTGGTTGAATACACTTGGCCACCTCTTGAATACACTTGGCCACCTCTGTCCGGTCCACGACAAGTGTTTCTGGTTGTGAAACAGGAAAAGTGTGTCTTTCATTTCCTGTCTCCTGCTGTGGCCCTTCTGCATGTGGGTGCACGGATTAGGTTGCCCACAGTAAACCAGTGGATTCTTCTTGACACGCCCAGTCATAAAATTGTTGGCAAAAGTTCGAGGACAGGGTGTGGAGTTGCCATTTGTGGGAGAGTGACTGAAAACTCATTCCTTCTATGTTAATTTCACTGTTGCTCTTTCTGTTCTTTTCCCCTGTGCGCCGAGTGGTATAAAGCATCAAGCAAGGCTAGCTTGTTGCTTTAACGATGTTTAATGTTTCCTTTTGTTTGTGGCTCTACCTGGATTGCTTGGATTAGGCTTTCGTTGTCAGAACAGAATCCTTTATTAATAGAGCTGCTTGTTTAGGAGTGAGTTGGAGACGTTAATTTCAGTCCTGATTATCTGGAGTCTCTCAATAAAAACTGTAACAGGGTGAACTTCATCAGTGCAACGTATTTTCAGTTCTGTAGCTTCATTAGTGGCAAGGCTCCTCCCCTTCTCCACCCTGTTTTGGGCAAAGCTTAAGATAGCAGATCTCACTGGAAATACTGTGCTGACCAGTAACAATAGTTACAGAATAGCTAAAACTCAGTATCGGCCAAGAAGAGCAGCAGCAAACTTTTGTACTGGATAGTGAGCAGACATACTTGATGGACATGCAGGGATTTGGGGCCAGATCATCAGCTGGTGAGAATTAGCACAAATTCATTGGAATCACTGGTGACTGTTACGCCTTCATTGTAAAACTCCAGTTTTCAAAACATAAGAGCGCATAGCTCACTGCGGGAAGGAGCAAAGCCTAGCAAATCCCTGCCTGAAATGTGGCTCAATTTCCTTCTCTGTTGAATATTGATATTTGCAAAGGAGCTAGGCTGCCTGTGTAATGGTGCCATAAGAAATACAGGCTTTTAAATGTGGATCAGGTAGTAAAGTGTGGAGTTGGAGAGGTTTTAAATTTAATTACAGACATTAAACTAAATACATTGTTGTGTGTTTTATCCTGGGCTGTGAAGATACAGTACTGAAAGACACAGTACTCTGTAATCCTTATGCAGATTTAGCAAAGGCATGCAAAATTTCTTTTTACATAAATAGAATTATATATTTACGTGAAGTATATGTTTTTTTTGAGGAAAAAATCAGATCAACTTTGAAAATAATGCCGGAGCCATTTCTGAATAGCAGTGTGCAAACAGAGTAATTTTCCTCCTCCTTTTTTTCCCTGTACGCAGAGCCAGCCAACACTTGCAAATGCGCTGGGGGGCGGGGGGGGGAACGTTGACTGAGTTGAAGTTCCTGTTGCTAAAGAATTTGTTTCTTTGAGCATGCAAAATCTGCAGTGGAGAGGAACAGAAATAAACGTATCTTCCATTTCAACTGTCAACAGTGCAAAACTCTACTCAGTAAACTGTCACAGCGCCCTATGAGCGGGCCCTGCTAGGTTTGTGTGACTTTCTCAAAAAGGGCGTAGCTTGAGCGCATCCAAACTTCCCCACTTGGAGGAACAGTTGGAGCTAGAGACACGTCACAGAGCCCTTCTGTCCTTTAGACCAGCATTGTCTTTCCTGCAAGCGGACATTGGACAGGATCACATCATTACATCTGTGTGAAGTATCCTGCTGAGTTTAATCAGCTTCAAACAGGATCAGATTTGCTCTGCATCACCTAGAGGGGTCATCGTTATTTTGCAAGTTGTGATTTAGATTTGAGAGACAGATCGCGTCTTTAGAAGTAAAGGTGGGTCAAGCGGTAGGGACTGGGCAGAGTGCTGGCTGTGGTGATGGTTGTTGTCAGCCTGCCTCGCAGAGATCAAAGACGTGAAAATTACGCTATTTGCGATGTTTGGCGCGCGTGCAGTCTGTGTAAATTAAGGAGAGTTACCTGTGAGTCTGCAGTGCTCAAGTGTCTTGTCATTCTTCTCCAGAACTGACAGACTGGGAGACCACAGTGACGATTTGTGTTTTTTTTTTTTAATTCTTCTTCTCCTGCCTCAAGCAGAAACTGTACAAGACCTGTCGGATGATGCAGGAGAGGATCATGGAATTGTTGGTGACAGTGGAGAATGAAGATGTGATAGTTGAGTTAATACAAGTAAATGAAGATCTGAATAATGTCCTCCTGGGACATGAAAGGTACGTACAGGGCCTCTCTCCCCACAGGTGGTATCCTGACTGAATAAGCACACTCCATGGACACAGATGGTCCCTCCGTCTAACACTGATTCTCCACAAGGAGGCAGACTTTGTTCTTAAATCCAGAAAAGAAACATGATTGCGAAAAGAGAAAATAATGTATTTGCCTTCTCCTAAACACTTCGGAAACTATTCATAAAGGTCGGTAGAAATCCATCAGAACGGAGTAAAACAAGTTAACAGCAGAGACAGGAAATCTGATGGGGGCACACAAACAAAAATCATTTTGGAATCTGATGTTCCTTTTTGGCAGCGCACAGTGAATTTGTCATCAGTCTGCTACAAACCCTACAAAGGCGATGGTCTTTATCACTGTTAAGCGTATATGCTATCAGGGAAGAATACTTGTTCTCCTTTCTAAACAACTTTGACAGCTTTACTGCAGAAATCGGCCATGGAATGGCATTCTGCCTCATTGCATGCTTAAGGGAGTCGCTTGCTTTTCTCAGCTGGGTTGAAACACGCTGTTCTACTTGTCTCACAGCTGAAAATGTTTCTTTCTTTCACACATGGAAGCACCGCAGTGCTCGTGTTGGCATCCTGTGTATTTGTCTGTTATGTCAGTGGTAGCATGACTAGATACTAGCAAAACTGAAATTAATTTTAAGCTCAAAATTCCAGTGTTATCCCACAAAATAGCACGTGACTATGCTCATGGAGAGTATTCTGGTTTAATAGGAACTAGCTTTCTGTGTTGCAGTTGATCTCCTTCATGGCTAAGAAATGTTCTAGAAATCATTCTGTATTGAGTGCAATGGTTCATGATTAAATTTAGCAGATTTAGAGAATTGGGTCATCTTTTTAATCCTGTTCTGAATGCTGCACTGGAAATATCACTAATTCCTCTAAGTGTCATGGAACGAACTTTGGGCCTAATCTTGACAACATTTAGTTTTGCATTTATCCTTAAATCTTATGACTACAGCAGTGTTGGCGTATTTTACAGTAACTGCCTTGAAAGAATCGTGTGCTCATTTCTTGCTTTTCATTTTAGTAAAGCAAAAATAAAATTCTGCTCAGCTTCTGTAAGTCTGCTGAAGTCAGATGTGGGCTTACATTTCTGTTACAACTGATGAGTGTATGAAATACAAGACCAAGAACCTCTTGCTCTGTGAATAGTAGCTTGTGGGTATAATTCAACAAATTCCTTATGAAAGCCTCACCTGGTGATTGAAGGAGCAATTAATTGGCCATTGCAAAACTGGACCGAAAACTACTGTGTTTAGTACTATAACGTTACAGTTGGGATGTAAGGGGCGTTCCTGGGCGCAGATGCGTTGCACGTCAGAGTTAAGTATCAAAATGTATTCGGTTAATGTTTGCTGCGGAAGATTTGTTCTTTGGAATTCCCCCTGCGATGTGTAAAGGACTAACTGATTTTAACTAGCTGCATCGGGCTCATACCATGGGTATAGTTTGAAGACAAGTCATGCTGCATTCTCTGTTCCTGATTATTAGAGTCCAAATTAAATCGGGAGCAATCACCATTGCGCAGTGAACTGGCCTCCTGTGTGTAACGATGACTCCCTCTAGTGGCTCTAGCAATTTTGCCGTTCTCCCTGTATTTCAGATATTTTTACGTTCTGCAGTTGGAAAGATGTTTTTGGGGTTTTTTTTTGTTTGGTTTTTCTCCCTGCCTGTATACTGTCTTTATGGGGCTCACCGGTATGGTAACCCTAACTAGCAAATGCAGTTGTATAGACAGCCTCATGTCCGTAGCACTTGGGGCTCTTGCTTCTGAAGCGGACTGACCTTATGGATGCTGAATATCACTTGACTGGGTCTCCTCTGGACCCCACGCAGCCCTGTCGTGAGCCCTAGTACATAAATATTTATGCAGGTGGATTGTTTGTTTGTTTGTTTTTAAGTTGTTTCAAACGCCTGAACTAATGAGAGGGCTGTGCACCAGCATAGCAAGTGGTTTGTCCTGGGATGACATGAGGGAATGTGGGGACCTCTGAGGACAGAAGGCTTCCTGCAACCCAGTTGGAAGAGTGTTCTGGTCGGCGGGAGCCAGATTTGGCACAGTGCGTGTTTGTAGCTGCCTATTTGGCATGAATGGAGTCAAACTTTGTTGTCAGCTCTGCCTCAGCTTTGTTTTGGAAGAAACAGGTGGCCGTCTCCAAACGTGAGCCCAAGAACAAACTAACTGGTGTTAGTGTAGGTGGTGAGAGGACCGCGGTGCTGGAGAAGAGAGTCAAATTGCTGGTGTGGAGAGAAGTGCCTCAGAGAAAAGCACTGTACTGCTTGTTTGGCACCTCTGGAGTCTTGATAATCAAACTTTGATTATTGCTAATTTGATAGTCTTATGGATGACATCACAGAAATGTGAGAATGAACATTTCACTCTACATCTTCAACAGGTTCTCTCGAAACAGAGTTCGTTTTTTGGAGAATCAGAGAATACAACGTGAACGCACAGAGGTGAGTGATTGATTATAGATGAACTCGTGAACTGCAGGACTGTAAACATTCCTTTTTCTATGCATTGCGAAAAATACACTTTTGATATATGCAGAGTTTTATTCTCTAGTTGAGAGGTACAGGAGACAACAGGCTGATACTGCTCTTACTGATTTTTCTAAAGTCTGACTTGCAGAATTTCATGCGAATTCATGTAACTAAAGTAGCAAATAATGTCAAATCTAAGATGGAAGCTTGGACAGGAAAAATGAGAGATCGATCTGTCCAAATGCTTGTTTATTACCTCTACAGCTCAGCACTATTATCTGCCGTAAACTAAATGAGGAACCATAATGTTTCTTTTCATTTGTTCTCTGTTAAGCATTTATAGGCTGAAATACTATTACACCATCAGAATTCACTATTACTGATGGGTTTTTTCTGAGTCAAAGCTTTTTCTGAATTGTGAATAATGGCTTGTAGCAAATCTTTAATGACTATACTTTATTGATTGATAATTATAGTTGTTAATTATATTGCCCAAAGTAGTTTTGCACATGTTTCAGCTTCTGCTAGGCCATAATTGCGTAGTCATCTAAGACTCAGTATGAAAATGACTGCATTGTGCATGCTGAAATACAGCTGTCAGTTACTAAAAAAAGGTAGAAGACAATCTTGTTTTCCTTGAAGAGCCACTGTTACTGCATCCTGGTTTTGTCAGTGGATGTTCTTGCTTGATGGATGCACTGTTGGATTAGTTACTAGTCCAAATGGTTCAGTCTGTGCGTTTTTATATTTTTCAGGAGTCTCCAAGTTTAAAATGCCTCATCCTTTAGGTAGTTTTAATCTGCTGTGATCAAACCCATACAATTCAAGCCTGTGGTTTTACTAAAGTCTTTGGTTGGCTACATTTTGAATTCTAACACACCTACAGGAGAAACAAAGGGAACCCTTTTCTGTGTCCTAGGAAACGCTGTTGTGATTCTGATTTTTTTCAGTCCTGTTTTGGATAGGAAAAGTTCAATCTCCTGAGTATGTATCAAATCTCCACAACACAAATAAGTAGTATGAAGATAATTGTAGAGGATCAATCAGAAGATCGGTATCAAACCTGTATCTAAAACAACTCACGATTGTTTTTTACAATTGAGTCTGTTCTGTTTCCTACTTCAGAATTGTTTTCATTACGTTTTTGACATAGCAACCTTGCTGAAACTGATCTTTTCTGGAAAGCATGTTTTGTTTCATTAGCTATCTTTCACCCCCAAAATAATAATAATCCTGGTCTTCTCGTAGATGCCAAATTTTAATATGATTTTAAAAGTTTATATTCTGAGAAAATAGCAATTTGCTTAAAACTGTACAAGTTCCTTTTAAAAAAAACAGACAAACAAACCAAAACAAAAACCACCAAACAACTTTATTCCTTTTCAAATGTTAAGCTGTACAGGAAACAGCCATCTGCTCCTTCAAGTGACCTACTTGACCTCTCTGTAGATTCTCCATCTCCCGTGTCAACAGTGGTGCAAACTGACTCTGCAGTGTCGCCTTCAGGCCTTAGTAAGTGATGAATGCACATTTCCCTTGCAATCTGGTTTCCTAAAGCAAACCAAGAGTTTAGTGGAGGAATCAAGAAATTTCTTGTAAGAAAGAAGACAAAGATACTCCTTAACTTGAAGGATGTTCCTTACATCTCCTTAAAAGGAGAATTGACGTGTGTACATAGAAAAAAATGAAAGATAGTGTAAGGTTCCCTGTAGTTTGTTTTCACTGGAAGCAGTAATCTTTTCTCCCCCTTCATGTAAATTTGAACAGTAGAACATGCTGTTTGCTATTGCAATGAAGCCTGTGAAACAGTCTGGTAGTGCTTGTTCTGAAGGCTTGGAAGAAAGAAACACAGATACGCTTTTCTCACTCCTTGGTGCCCCAAATTTTTCCAGGAGGCTCGTGGTGTTAGAAATGGTTCATTCTGAAAGACACTCATCTCCTTTAACTTTAGACTTCTTTCATAGTCAGAGGAGTGAGTAAAGCTCCTGACTTTGATACCCTGAATTACTGTTTGCAGAAGCCCCTCCTTTATCCGCTCTAGGGGAGTCTGTGTACTGACCTTAAAGGTGTGAATGTCCCCCCAGGAATAAATGCCTATAGTTCCATTTTAGTCTTTTAGAAATAGTGAATTTTAAATGGTGTCTACCATGGACAGCACTGCTGATGTTGTTCTGACATTTTAAGGAGATAAATATGTTGCACCTAAAACCTTCTCAGAGACATTGAAATTCTGCCTTTCATGTGATAAACAGCAATTTGTTTCAGACTCTTTATATGCCTTCCAAACAAAATTTCACCCTTTCATGTTCACAGTACAAGTAACTAACATTTGCTTAATGAGGTTTAAATGATCATTAATTATTACTTTGAATTTCAGATTGCATATCTGTACACCCTGAAGATAAAAAGAGGCATCATCCATCCATTTATCCACAGCTGGATTTAGTAACTACTACAAAAGCTCAGCAATTCCTGTGAGTAATCTCTTATCAAGAAATGGTAGCAGATAACAGATCTTCAGAACTATTAGTACTCTGTAATTCATCCAATGAGTTTATAGAAAGCTCTGAGAACACAGATTTTTCTACTTCTGCATGTTAGTCCAGTAAAACAAGTGAAAACTACCTGTGTGCTGGACATTGCTTGACGTGCTTAAGCATACACTACTCCTGCAGCGCTGTTTAGTCATAGACATAAATTTACGTCAGCAGTCAAAACGCACTGGAGATACGACTTTCTGCTTGAGTGTGGTCAGCGCTGCAGCGGGCAGGAGAAACAGATGAGCTGTACGGGTCGATAAGGGTTTGGGATGGGGGAGGTGACCTTGGAGGTTCCTTTCATGTGAAGGGGAACCTGGCCCGCCAGCCCCTGCTGCTCTCAGTTGGGACATAAGTTAAAGACGCACCAGCAAGAAAATAATGTAACAGTCAGAGTATACGGGTTTGATAATTTCTCGGTTACTTTCACACCCTTTCCTAGATTTGCCACTGAAGCGCAAAACAACGGTGTGAGCAGCCCAGCTGGACATTCGTACAGCAATGTGAGTGACGTTCCTGCTCAGAATAGTCATTCTCTGCTGGCAGCTGTCAAAATGAGAACTGTTTGGGTTTAGCCCCACTGCTAGCCAAATGGGATACAAAGATCTGTCAGGTGGCCCCTCTCCATACATCGGGGAACACTCCGTGTTTGGAGCCCAGGCCAGCTTTCCTCTTGATACCACAGATGCTAATACAAAAGCTTATTTTCTTGGGTCCAGCACAATTTCAGGGGAGTTTGCAGAAAGCAGTTGCTGTATTATTTGTGTTTAATCTGTTGCTGTGTGAAGCAAGCTGAGATCTCCTCTGCTGCCATTACTCTGGTCTGGTTTCCATCTGAAATAAGACATTAAAAAAAAATCCAAAAAACCACTTAAAACCAAAGTACAGTGTAGGACGAATGGCACATGCTGCAGACAAAACACCCGTGACAGAAGGAATGCAGAGGCTCTGAAGGGGCTTTGAGGTAACGTTATGAATTTGCATGCGGTTTGGTGGTAGGCAGTATGAAAGAGAAAAGAGGAGAAGCAGCCCCCGGACACACAGGCATATTCCCTCTTTTAAACCACAAGGGAAAGCAGGTATCTGTGTTGTGAGTACTGCTGTCTTTTGGGTCTGTGCAGTGTAACAGATTGCACTGAAGTAAAGCATACAAACGTGCTCTAGGTAACACTAAAAGATGTTTTGAACTCCGTGTGCATAATAGAGATGAACTAGATTGGCAGCTGTTGACCTTAGAACTCACTTGTCATAGTCCGAGAGCCTAAAGATAAGTCCGCAGTTGCATGAGTGAAGTCAAACCAGTTCTCACAGAACAATCTGTTTACGCGCTGTTTTGTTTGATGTCCTTAGTTGGCAACTCTTTTGAGCCCAGTGCCTCTGAATCCAGTAAATCTGCAGACTGGACCTACGACGTCATTAAACAGACCGTCACCAGCAGGTAACAAATACTGCAGACCGCCTGACCTCCACGGAGGTGTAGTTTTGTTGTTGGACCTTGAGGGCTTGACGTAACGGCTGTTAGAGACCAGCAGCAGCAACAAGCATGGACAAAATCTCATTGCTCATGGCTTCTCTTAGGCGCATCCGTCCATTTTGGCGTTAAAGCAACTAGGCACATAGGAGATAAGCTGCTGCTTTCAGGAAAGTACAAGAAAGTAACATGCAGTAAGCACGCTTTTCGTTTACACTTAAATCTGGATTTATCTGCCTGTCTTTATTCTTCAGCTGCATCAAAGAACAAGTCACAGTCGCCTCGTTACTATGAGATAATGGAATTTGATCCCTTGGCTCCCACTGAGTAAGTAACTTTTAAAATAAATAATATATGGTTTTCTTGGATGTCAAAGGCAAGAAGGCTTCTGAGATGGCTTTTTCTTCTGAGTGAGAAAACAGACCACGCTATTTAGACTGAGTTAGCTGACCAGCTGGATCGCTAATGTAAATGAGAGTGTGGCTGCATTTTTTTACATTTTCTTCCACTATTTCTGGCATAACCAGTGAAGGAATAAACGCCTGTAATGTGTTCTGTAAAAATCGTAGAGGAATGCTATGTCAGAAGGGACCTACTGAAATCCTGTCCGGTGATGTATAAAGGGGAATAACACGTGGTAAGGCTCCTGGTGGAGAAGCTGATTGACACTGCAACACAGGTAGTTCTGGAGCAAGATAATCAGAGTAATTCCTGTTCACAGCAATTGTGAGTTTTAAGAATGTTTGTTCTACTGCTTATCAAGAAAATCCTCAATTTAAATATAAGCTACAAAAGGGAATGGATGTGGGACTCTCCAGAGGGCCGAGTAATCAGACAGAAAACTAACACAAAACTAAATGGATGGCAGAACTCTCCTTTCTACCAGGAAATTGCAAAAAAAATTGTCATCTACACAAAACTTATTTCTGAGGAACCATTGAATTCTGAGGTAGTGAAACCTCAATGAAGCTTTATTCATTTTTTTCCAACTAGTGCAATAATTGCATGCCGCATGGTATGCTCGCCATTTGCCTTTTGCAGTCCTGTTCCCAAACTTATTTCATCAAAAGTGCCGATGTCCAGAGGTACCTCATTAACTGTGTCCTCACAGATGTGCCACAGGATTGGCTCTTGGTTTCCATGGAAACCGGGGCATCCTGTGACTGATGCTACTCCGTTAGGCAAACGCTATAAACATGTTGGTGCTTGGGCAGGATTTCATTAGTGCGTTTTGTTAAAATGAAACAGCTGTGATGTGGGAGTCACCCTGTTCTTCTTGCAGAGCTGTTTATGAAGACATTGATGGCGTGCTGAAGACAGCTGATAAAAAGAATACAGAATGTTGAAGGTGGAGGTGAACTCATTTACTGGACACGTTATTCTCTGATGCTGGTCCTGTGCAGTGCTTCCTATAATGTACGAGTGAATAACAGGGCAGGATTTGTGTTTTGACACAACACAGTAAGTGCTGGAATACGAAGCTGTGTGGAAGTTGAAGTTACTTGGATCCACACCTTGCAATTTGTCCAAAGTGTTCAACTGTGCGTTCTTCAAGGTGACTTGTACGATTGTTTTTAAAGTATTTTTAGGGCCTTTAAAATACGATTTCCAAATTCACCTGCGTATGAAGTAACACTTGCCACCTGACACAAGCAAACAAAAAGGACTCCTGCAACCATAGGAGAAACCTTTTCTTCCAGGTTAACTCCTCCTTTGTATTGCTTTACCCCTTTATGCAGCAAACAAAGCGGAACATTATGTTTACAGAAACTGCAGAATCCAGTTTCTCTTTCGGCCTCATTGCTGTCTGTGTAACCTCCCTAGAAATCTGTAAGGGGATTTTGGTATGTAGGACTCTTCTAAAATCAGGCCTCTTGATAATATAGTTGGATTTTTGTCTTGGTAAGAACCTGAGCTGGGACATGAGGTGCTGTCATCCACGATTAACAGAACAGAAAACCCCTGCTTGTTCCTGTGGCGTTGTTGCTTTTTTTACTCCATAAATACTGGAGGGGGATCGATCATTTCTTTCAATGTTCCTGCCCTGCAGAGAGTGCTGTTCTGGTGAAGGAAAAAAATTATCATCTACAATGCAGATGAGCAACAGTTATCCGTTTGTTTTAGTCAGGTTGTTTCACCCTGTTAATAACAGTTTTATCTTGTAATCACTGAAGTGCCTTATCTGTTTTAATATGAGTGTATAATGTGCACTTTAACAGGTATAGTTCTCTGAATTTATAATTGATATAAAATTTGAGAACTTAGTTCATGTTCCTAGCTGATAAGCTAATTTTTTGTGAATACTGCATTTTAAATGTTCATTATGTTAACTGTTTAAGCGGTAAGAAGTTCCCAGTTGGTTTTGTGACTTTTGTAGCATAAAATTCCAAATAAAAGCAAATCCTTACTGAGGAGCTAACCCCCATCACTTCTGAGTTTTTACTGGATGACGTACTCCGTGACACACCAAACGTAGGCAGTACCGGAGGCGTTGTGGTGTGAGCCCGCGGCGCTCAGCGCGTGGGCAGCAGCTGTGCGGTCCGCGGCAGGACCGCTGGAACACCCCTCTGCTGCAAAAACACAGCCCCGAAGTTCAGGGGCTTGGTGAGAGAGGGGGGAAGGTCGGCTGCTTTGTTACTGTTCTTGTTTTATTTGCAATGGCCCGCACAGCAGCCTGAGGAAACTGCTGAACACAGGATTTGAGGTGGATCGATTTCTCCCTGCGGTTGGACTGGTAGAACCCTGGCACATGAAGTGTAACCAATGACAACGGGCTGTGATCCATGACGGATGATGTCTGACTGAACTTCTACCTATTTAAAGAAGCAAAATGGTCAGAGATGAAAGGGAAGTGGCTAATTACTGAGGTCAGAGAGCTTGTTGTGTAGTGGGACTGCGCTCTGTATCTGTGCAAACTTGGGCTTTCAAACTCGGTGGGGAAAACCCACGTTTGGATGAAACTGGCACTTGCCAGGATCCTTTTTTGAAGCACGTGGCTGGAATAAAGCAATGTGTGGAAAACTCCCATAATCAGTTCAACTTTCAAAAAGACAATGGACTAAAGACAACTGAGGTAAGAAATTTTCTTCTAGCCTGGATTCAAAGAGCTGTCTTGATTTTTATTTGTTTTTTTTCCTGCAGCATCACTACAATTCTAGCTTAAGCTTGCTGCTGCCTTCATACAGATGTTTCACTTGTGTTGGCCCCACATGTTCTGCTGGATAAAATGTTACAGATGAAAGAATTAAAAGTTTTAAAACTTTAATAAATACACAGTGAAGACCTGACATGTCATTCAGAATCCATTTTAACAACACATGTAATTGGCACAGTAATGCATTTTAAACGTAGCATCCATTTCTTTTCAAAAAAGCACTTTTTAAAATCCTTGTATGCAAGCCTAATTGAGACTAAAGTAACTGCAAGTTGGTTCTGATACACCCCTTCCCTCCTTAGAGTCCAAACAAACCAGCATTAGTCTGTCTTTGTTCATCTCATCTGCTGAAAGGGGCAGGAAGAACTGGCCTAGCAGATGAGATACTGGGCCGAGATCAGTTCCTGTCTGAAGGCGAGTAGGGCACTTGATCGTAGCTTTGCAGTGGGAGCTGCAGAGCAAGTTTAGGTGGCGTGACCCCAACCCCACAGATAATGACCAAGTTACACAAATCTAGGCTTACGTTTTCCACGGTAAACAGAGTACCCAGGAGTACCTCCAGACATCCTGGGCAGGCTTCGTTGGAGTTAACCCCTGACTGGGGCTGATTACCTTGGGTCTGAGGAGACTCCCATGCTATTACTTTCCCCTGCAATTGACAGCAGTTGTTTATGTACTGCCTTCCCCTGCAAAGCATTTCCTGCAGAGCTGAGCTTGTCTCCGTAGAGGTGCCCCGTGCACAGCCCTCTGCAGAGTGAAAGGTCAGTCATTAGCAGCAGAGATAAAACTTTAAATGAGTTGAACACATTTGAAACTTGAAGATGGTATTTCTAAATGGAAGCTACGCCACAGATTTGATCTGCTTACATTTAAATTACTGTTCCTCACACAAATAACAGCTCAGAGCAGTCTGCTCTTACCAAATGAACTACTGATTCAGTAATAACTTGAGAGGGTGCATCATCTTCTGAATCATCCCCCCCTCCTGTGCCACAGGAGGGTTACACAGCAATACAGTCTTTGTTTAGTTTTCAGATTTTATGAACTGATTACTTGGTTTTACCTTTTTATGAAGTAACTTACATGGAAGTTATTCTTCAGAGCCAGCAATGCAATTCTAGATGCTTATTAAACTGATGTGTTCCTCTGTATTTAAATGAAGATCTCGATTTACACTTGGGTTTAAAAATTTGCCTCTCGGTATTCAGGTAACACGTATCATCTTACAAAAAGATGGCTTGAGAAAACTCTCTTGCAGGAACAGTGTGTTCCCTTCTATTGTCTGATGAAGAAATACTATCCCTAAGAAATAATACTTGAACTACAGAAGGTTTTTTTTATAAAAAAAATAGCAATACATCCTTTCATAACAGCAGCATGTGCCCACGGTGGTTTAATGATATAATTTCATATTGCACAGTACTCCTACAGTTTGTCTTTCTGTTGGAAAATGGTTTCAAAACTGGTAGTCAGGTAGCAGAAGTCAAATTGTGTAGAGATTGCTTGTTACTGATACCCAGGAAGCGGTAACTTCTGTCCTTCCTTTGCTTCAAAAAATGTGTAAGAAAGGGTGATCAAATCAACTTTAGCCATTTTAGGGTCCTCTACAAATTCTGGATCAATGTAGAAAAAGACAGGCATGTCCACCTCCTCTTGAGGGTTTAGCCGCTGTTCTTCGAAACAAAAACACTGCAGGGGGGAGGAAAAAAAAAAATAAATTAGGACATCAATAGCTATGGTGAACACTTTATCCCTGCCCACAAGAGAGAAAGCTTCATCTCTTAAAATCAACTCTCATGCCCTGTACATCCCTAAAATCCTGGGAAGAATCAACCATAGGAGCCACGGCCCGTAATTCTGTTCCTCTTATGTTACAGGAAAAAAATTAGCTTTTAATGAAGTGTCCAAATGTGCAAATTGGGCAGGCGAGCTGGCCTTGCCACCACCTGCCCTCGGTGTCCGCGGTACTAAGTATCATCTGTTTGGGAGCCACCCTACTCTGACCTGTACTGCAGCTTGTTACGAGCAGAGTGAGGCTGAATGAACTGATGTACTGACATTTGAAAAAATCAAGATACCTTCTTAGAACATTAGCATGCAAAGAGCGGTCCCCAGGATTAAAATGAGAAAAAGTTAATTAATAGATAATGATTCTCATTCCTGTAAAGGAAAATGTAATCTTTGCTTTGTTCACACTTACTTGTATTTTATTGAAATACTGTCCTGCTTCAAAGGGTATTACGTTGTAGGTAGAGATTCCAATTACTGGTTTGTCCGTAGGATTTTTTGCTTTATAAAATGCCAGCGCGGTCTCTCCTGGTACCACCTGTATGAAGTGATTGCACAGTGACTTTTAATCCGCTGCAGCCCTCCACCCCTTCATCAGCGTTCTTCAGACTTTAGCTAGATTTAGTTAAGTTTTCTCTTTGCTGTTTCAAGTTGGTTACTTCACCACTTCACACGTATTTTGCTTACACAGTTCACCCTCAGTCAAAATTAAAAGAATCGGTAATGTTTGATGCGTGCCTTTTTAACCTTAACCAGTTTGCCACCGAGACTCATTCTCAGCTTAGCAGCACAGAGAGCTTTTTTAATATGCAGGTTTATGTATGGTGTACATTTAATTTGTGAGGTTATCATTCTTTCAGTGCTGGACTTGGCAACCAATTAATGCAGCATGACTCCTTTTGTACAGTTTTTACTGTTTAAAATTAGTTCTTAGTAAAGTTAGATTAAAATGATCATTTTTAAATAAAAAATAGCAACAGCCCTACAGCAATAGGGGCAAGAAGAGAAAGTACAAGGGGGAAAGTCTGGTGTATACAAGTATATTTTTGATAGCAATGTTCTGGTAGCCGGATGGGATGGCAGAGGAGCAGCTCCGCAACTTCCCGATACTGGTTACGAGGCCTGGAATTCCACCAGAGGCAACGCACCTC